GCTTAGAGAATTTGGAGGTTGTCAACCCATATGTAAGTGGACCCATTCTCACTCGATTTTCTTGATTTTGGCATGTGCATTGAACTGTTAGGGTTTTTTTTGCATCTTTTTGTATACTTTTTGACTCTGTGCTGGTCCTGGTGTGGTCATTGTGTGGTTCTTGCGTGTTCCTAGTCTGGTGTGTTGGTGGAGTTTTTGTTTTGTTTTTTCATATACTTTTTTACTCTGTGCTGACCCCAATACACCTTATGTGGTCCTTGTGTGTTCCTTGTATTATTCTTGTATGGTCCTTGTTTTGTCTATTGTTACATTTGTCCATTTGTTAAGTGAATCTTCCTCTTACATAGATAAAGATGCTGATGAGGTTGTCACATTTAAGTTTTTCCATAGAGGTAAACTAGTTAAAAATGGAAAGGACAATGAACGGTCTTATTTGGGTGGTGAAGTCAGTTGGTTTGATTATTGTGAAGTTGACTATATGTCCATGTTAGAGATATTTGGAATAGCTAAAGATTTGGGATATGACGATGAGTATGATGTGAGTTTTTATGGTGAAGAGTTTGGAACTGATAGACTCATTCAAATAATATCAGATAGTTCACTTTTAGCTTGTATGAGCACGGTACCTAAAAGCAATAGCAGGGTAATATTTTTGTACTTGAAAGTAGTGAGCTTGACTTCAAGCCAAGTGGGGAATGATAGCAGTGATCAAGAATATTCTTGTTTTGAGGATGATGATAGCAGTGATCCAGACTTTGAAGACAGTGACTATGCACAGAGTGATGAAGAGATTGACTTATTGAAGAAGGATGATAAGTGGTTTGAAGGTTATGTGGATCATAGTATTTTTGACAATGATCCTAATGCAGAGGAAAATGATGAGTCAGACAATGGAGAAGAGTCACCTACACTTATCTGCCCAAATAGTTCACCAAGTGAAGATGATGCAGTGGGTGAACTAAGAAGGAAGAAGAATAGGATGCCAAAAGGTGAAGATTTCAGACCTGAAATTGATATGGCACACCCAGGTTTCAAAATAGGTTTAAGGTTTGTAACTGCTGAGTTGTTTAGAAAAGTTGTGAGGATATACTCCATTAATTGTGGAAGGGAGTTGATTTTTATGAATAATGACCGTAACAAAATAAGAGTAGTATGTGAAGAAGGCTGTCCTTTTGTTATCCATGCTACAAGTATTAGTGGTAGCATTTACTTGCAGGTGAAAACCTTTAATCCTACACATGTTTGTAGTAAGGGGACTAAAAATATACATGCTACTGCTGGCTGGTTGGCTGAAAGATATTCTGGGCAGTTAAGGCTCAATCCAAATTGGACTGCTTCTTCTTTTGTAGAGCAAGTTCACCCAAGACTATGGTTACAGACCATATAGAGCAACTGTGTACAGAGCAAGAGCCATGGCAGTTGACATTGTAGAGGGGTCTTATAGTAAACAATATGAAGTATTGTGGGATTATTGTCATGAGTTAAGAACTAGAAATGTGGGAAGTACAGTTATCATTAAATCTGAAATGAAAGGTGATAGGCCACGGTTTCAAAGAATTTACATCTGTCTTGCAGCCTGTAAGAAGGGGTTTTTAGATGGTTGTAGGCATGTGGTTTGCTTGGATAGGTGTCATGTCAAAGGGCCTCACCCTGGGCAAGTGCTTTCTACAATGGGAGTTGATGCAAACAGCGGAATGTTTCCACTTGCCTATGCATATGTAGAGATTGAGAGCAATTCAACATGGTTGTGGTTTTTAGAATTATTGAGTGGTGATCTGAATATTACGAATAGCCATGGTTATGTATTTATGACTGACAAACAAAAAGGGTTAATAGATGTTGTGGATGCTCTATTCCCTCATGCAGATCATAGACATTGTTTGAAACATCTAAATGGAAACTTCTATTTGGAACATAGAGGTCTTGCCTTGAAACATCAAATGGAAGCAATTGCTAGGGCCACAACAGTGCCATGGTTTCATGCATAGATGAGAAAGATGTTGCAGTTGTCTAAACCTGCACATGATTGGCTTGTTGAGAAAGATCCTAGGCATGGGAGTAGGGCATATTTCAAGAGTGATTCCAAGTGTGACATGCTTATGAACAATCTATGTGAGGCATTCAACCGTAGGATAATGGATGCCAAAGACAAGCCTATTCTGACTATGCTAGAAAGAATTCGGTTGTATATAATGTTGTTGATGGCGGGAAGAAGGGTTTTATGTGAGACATGACATGGACAAGTTGGGCCAAGAATTAGAAAGATATTAGAGAAAAACAAAGGAAAAGCTCAGTGATGCATTCCTAAGGCTGCTAGACAGAATAAGTTTGAAGGAATGCACCATAGTGACCGCACCTTTGCTGTTGATTTGAATGTCCACTCTTGTTCATGCCATGCTTGAGATTTGAATGGAATACCATGTTCGCATGCTTGTGCTGCAATAAGTTGGTTTCATGGGAATCCAGAGGACTTTTGTGATGCAGTGTACAAGAAAGAGGCTTATTTGAGAGCTTATGAACCAATGATTATGCCTATGACTAGCCAAGATCAGTGGATGAAGATTAATTTACCTCCATTACTCCCTCCAAAATACCACAAGCAGCCTGGCAGGCCTAAGAAGACAAGAAAACAAGTTGTTGATGAACCTAAACAACCTGCTAATCCATATAAGCTTCCTAGGTATGACATCCCTTTAAAGTGTGGCAATTGCGGTGGAGAAGGGCATAATCGAATTAGTTGTAAAGTATGTGTCATTATAGGCTTATTGCTTTACATTTAAATGTATTTGATTTGGTTTCTGACTTGATGACTTTGGTTATTAGGAACCTAGAAATCCCAACATAAAGCCTACTAAGAAGAGGAACGTTGCCAATGACAAACTTGCAATAAGTGCCACGGTTTCAACTATGTTTTCACTCATCAAAATTTTATATCATGAAAATTTCTAATTATTATTTGTTTTAGGAAAGAAGAAGAGATGGTGGAGACCAAAGTAGTGGACAACAGAGTATGTAATTAAGGCAAAGGAAACAAGCAAGCAGTTCCTAAGTGCCTTCTCAATCCCAGGCATCTGAAGTAGCTGATGCTTCTCAATCCCAACCATCTCAAGCAGCTGATGCTTTTCAATCCCAGCCATCTCAAGCATCTGAACCTCCCAAATTATCTCGAGTATAACAATGTAGGAGGAGGATGAAAGATCAACAGATCAGCCATTTTGTCAAAGATTCTTTTTTTCATCCTTGAATGTTGTGGAAGACTTTAATGGTCCAGCCATGGTTGTTGGTTTGTGGGATTATTGATGTCTGTTATGATTGGAACTTGTTTTGGTTGGAACCTGTATATTTGATGTCTATTATGTTTGGAACCTATTATGGTTGGACCTGTTTTGGAACATGAATATTTGATGTACGTTATGGTTGGAACCTATTTTGGTTTGTGCATATATTCCTAAGGTTGTTATGGTTGGAATTTGTTTTGGAACCTGTTTTGGTTTGTGTTATGTTTTAGAACCTGTTCTGTTTTGATTTGTGCTTATAATGACAGGTGCTTTTGCTAGTTTTGGGCTTTGCCTCTTGCTTTCCAGATTCCAGTAAACTTTGGCATGTTACCAAAGGCTACATATCCACCATAAACTTTGGCAAAGAAGGCATGTCCTGCTTTTTTAGGGAAAACTGAATTTTGGATCTCTTCTTCTAGATTCATCAAGAAATTACCATTCAATGTACCATTCATATCACAGATCAAACTGAATATCACACGTTGATCTGTCTAATCTCATTTGTAACCTCTAAACAATTTACCATTCATATCACAGATCAAACTTAACTAGCATTACATTACTTAACTAACTAGCATTAGATTCATGTCCCCATTTGTAACCTCTAAACAAGTTACCATTCATGTCACCATTTGTAACCCCTAAACAAATTACAATGAACAAACTTAACTAGCATTACATTATATTACACCAAATTACATTACATTACATTGCCAAAGTGCCTTACATTAGATTAACATTTGTTCTCAAATTAAATTTGCCCTTTGTTCTCAAATTACAGTGCCCACTGAACTACTGCCAAAGTGCCTAATTCATCTTCATGGCAAACACCACCAACCAGGAAAGCAATATAGCAGCCCACAATATTTTTGACTTTGCTAAAATCTTTGCATTTTCCTTCTTCACCCTATCAATATTCCTCAGCAAACCAGGTATCAAAGACTTTGAACGCTCACACATTTCTGCATCAAACCATTGAAAAAACCTACATCCTTTTTCTCCACTTCCCTGTATCAACCAAGAACAATGATTGAAAATTTGGGTGGTAAAATGACTGAAAATTTCATCAATCACTGACAATTTCATCAATAACAACTTTATCAATTTGTGATGCCCAAAACAATGACTGAAAATTTGATCTTAAACATGCTTACCTTTGACTTTGGGCAGACTAGAAATCTTCACCCTGGGTTTGAACTGGTCCAAGAAGTTTGCATCCGTGCTAACTTCCCACAATGACACCATTGGTCATGCCTTCCTTCTCTCCTGTTTCCATCAACCCAAATCTTATACTCCACAATCTCCCAATTTCAAACTCCACCTCAGAGTTTTATAAACCCCTAATTTCTTCTCTAGCTTCTCCCAAAATCGAAGTAACCTTTAGATTTTGACAACCCTCTTCTCCAATTTCCCCCTTTGTTAGAAACTGAGAAATCCTTATTCGAAGAGGTTAACGGTTAAAACGAAGTGGGGCCCAACGTTCGTAACGGAACGTCAAGAAAACTAACGGAACGGGTAACTTGAGACGGTTTTTAAAAAATTGAGGATACTTTGAGACGTTTGTAAACACATGTGGTAATATGAGATAAATTTGAAAGCACATGAGTATGTACATAATTAAGCCTTTAATATAATCGGCGGACAAATTTGGCTTAGAAAAAGTAATTTTGAGATTAAATTTGTTGGATTAGATTAGCGAAATAGTTCAGGGGTATTGCTGAAAATCCATTTTAACTGGAGATGGCCTAAGAGAGCTCGAAAGAGATAAGAGATGTTGGCACTGCCGCTGAGATTAGGCGCGCATTGGCCTGCGGTACAAAAACCTCTAATATCAACTTCAACACGGTGGTTCGTTTTCCCCTATTCGCGAAAAGTTTCGCTGAATGGCAATGGCCCCAGAGACCACTTTGACCGAAACGTTTCGAGGATCCCTGCGAATTCAACATCTTTCACTGGCAAGACCAATGATTTCGTTTCCGTTTCTCTCCCCAAAGACTCTCCTCTGTTTGGTACTCTTAACCCCCTTTTTCTTTGTCATCACAAGTACGCAGATATGATGCTGCCTTTATCTAAAATATGGCTATGAACTGTTTCTGTTTGGCTGCTAAGAAATTTGATGAAAGAAAAAAAAAAGACTTATGAATGGCATTTTGTTTATTAACTCCCGAATAGTACAAATGCTCAATTTTATAGTCAAAGTTTCTATCTTTTTTATTTCTTCTTAATTTTTCTTTGGGCAGGAGGAGGGAGGGTATGTGTGGTTCGAATTGTTCATTTTCCCAGTAACCAAACAGAGCAGTGGTTTGTGAGTTGTGGTTCTGGAATATGATTATATGAGGAATTGTGTAAAGTTAAATGTGTTTGATTTTGGAGTGAAGTCGAATTTGAATTAAAGAGAAAATGTGAGTTGAATTGTTAAAATATTTTAAATGAAACCAAACTAAAATCAAGCACTTATTAGAATTTGAACCACAATTCAGGATTGGAGGATTTACTGGTGAGCTTTATCTTGGGCAAGAAGAGGGCCACAGAAGTTTCTCACTTGTAAGAAGTTAATGACTAATTTCCCAAAATATGTGTGCATTTTGGATTGGAGGATTTACTATATCTACATTTGAGCCTACCTTAACCCACTTCTGATTTTTAACTTTATCAAGCATCTCTGGCTTTTTTGGTGTGCATTATCTTCTTTCACATATGCTGTTTATGCTTAGCTTGGCTGTTGAAAGCCTTTTTGTATAGGCTTCAATTAGCTATGCTTATAAATGCACTTGACTAGGGTTGACATTAGTCTATCTGCAGTTCTGCCCTAGCAGTTGTTTTAACATGCATCAAGTTTTGAAAAATTTGAGTGCTTGAAATTATACATTTCTCAACAGTCTCAGCCAATAGATTGATTTCATATTTTTACATTTCTTTTGTAATAATATTGTTTAAACATTTAATACCTTCTAGTTTCTATTCTTAACAGGGTTTGGAAAAGTGTTGTCCAAAAAGGAGATACAGTCATTGATGCCACTTGTGGCAATGGTCATGATACCTTAGCAATGCTGAAGATGGTTGCTGATGAATCGTGTAAGGGTTCTGTTTACGGGCTGGATGTTCAGGAAGCTGCTTTACAGAAAACTTCTTCTTTGCTGGAAGAGTTGGTCAGTCCAAATGAGGTACCCTTCTGTGCATTGGATGTCTGGACTGGACTGAACATAGTATCAATCTCGTGATGTGTTTTCTTTTTAAGGTTGTGGATGTATACTAATTCTCCTTAGTTTCAATTATATGCAGAAAGAACTTATTAAGCTTGTCTCCAAATGCCACAGTAAAATGGATGAAGTTCTTCCAAAAGATACATCTGTTAGGTACTCACTGTAACCCAAGTTTCTTGATGTTCCTATCTTATGGTTCTGTGTTTAAAATCTTAATGCAATTGGCATTTGATTTATGAGAAACGTGCGCAGAGCTAAAATAAGAAAGAAACTCTAGGCTGTTAAATTTCTTCTAATGGCCAAGATTAATGCAAATGCTTTTTGTACTTCTGTTTTATGTTCGATTTGTATAATCATAATCTTATTGGTATTCATATTGTTTGCTTCAATAACTTTTGGCTCTTTATTGAAGTCGGAATGTGTTCTGTATATTAACCAGGAAAGTTATTGAATATTCGACTAATGTTTATTATACTTAATATCATGCTCATATTGTATGGAAATATTATTGAACGTGTTACTGCATTATTTTTCTTAGTAGAAAACTTGCTTCCTGAAAGGTTTGATTTCGTGGGTGATTAGGCTTGTCGCTTTCAATCTTGGCTATCTTCCTGGGGGTGACAAAACAATTATCACACAGTCAGAAACAACACTGAAGGCATTGGAAGTTGCAAAAAGTATCGTGGTGCCCGGAGGTCTTATCAGTTTAGTGGTTTATGTGGGGCACCCTGGAGGATGGTAACAGTTCTGTTCTCAAATTTTATTTTTATTCACTCTGTATGCTAGTTTGTGCTCCCTGGTTTTTATTATGTTCATTATGCAGGTTGAGCAAAACCTATAACAATGGCTTGAGTAATTTTCGTTTAAGATACTAGAATAAATAAATAGATAAAGTTGGATAGTTAGGCCAATATAAGCTCAATTAAGTTCCTCCCAAACTACGCCTGAAATATTTTGCTTGTTATTATTAACAAAGGAATAGTTCTTTTGTAGCTAAAAACAATGAGTATGTTATAGCATGGGAAAATTGTTTTGCCCTATTGAATTTGAGTGTTTAGTGGGAGCATGACTTCTAAGGAACTTCTTGTGCAATGAAAGCAACAGTTGGAAGCTTGCCTTTTCAATCAACCTCCTTTTATTTTATTTTATAAAGTCTGGTAGATGAAGCCATCATTTATGCTTCCCCTTCAGATTGGTTTGGAATTGGATTAAGATATACGTGGTTAGTTTTAGGTACTAGAGGAATGTGATAGGCTGTTTGGGTTTTACGTTCTGGTCTTGCTCTGAGAGGAGAGAGGGGGAAGGGGAGAAGGAGAGTGAGATTGGAAGTCTTCTGTGACTAGTAAATTGGAAGTCTCAGACTCTTGTTAAGTTTGTGTATTTTCAGAATGAAGAAAAATCTATTTTTAGGCTCAAAACAAATAACGTGGATTGAATTCTAGAACACCGATGCTACTGTAGATCATAATAGAAGCTTTCTG